CCACTCGGCCCCCAAGCCTCAATTTCCTCATCCATAAAATGGGGATGGATACCGCCACCTCCTTCCAGGGCAGGCTGGAGAACTGTAAGAGCGCTAATGTATATGACACACGAGTCCAGTGCCGGGCACACGCGCAGATGCCCAAAGAAACATTTGGGAGGCTGAGACACGGGCAACCTCCTGGAAAACGGGGCCCACGTGCGTACTCCTTTCCCGCCTTGGAGAAGTGACTCCAAGCCCTCACGGCCCTCACGGCCCATACTCAGAGCCCCGGATCTGCTTGCCTCTGATCCCACCAGACCCTCACGGCAACCGTCCTGGGGGACACACGGCTCTGCCCACGGGCTCGGGGGCATTAAGCGACCCGCTGAGGCTCACACAGGCAGGAAGAGTGGCCCGGGATGCGTGCTAGACACCTGCCTGCTTCCGTCGGTGCAACTGACGCCCCAAAGCAGCAGTCCGCTCCCAGCTGCTCTGGGCGGCTGTGTGCCGGGGGCCTGCTTCGAAGCAGTGGTCGTTTTCACCTGCCTGTGTCCCTAGAGTCACCCAAGACATTCCTTTTTTTCTCTTCTCTTTTCTCTTCTCTTCTTTCCTTCCTTCCTCCCTCCCTTCCTTTCTCTGTCCCTCCCTCTCTCTTTCTTTCCTTCCCTCCTTCCTTTCTCTTTCTTTCCTTCATTCCTCTTTCTCTCTCTTTTTTTTCAATGTTTATTCATTTTTGAGAGAGAGAGAGACAGCATGTGAGCAGGGGAGTGGCAGAGGGAGAGAGCAGGAGACAGAATCCGAAGCAGGCTCCACAGGCTGTCAGCACAGAGCCTGATGCAGGGCTCGAAGTCACCAATCGTGAGATCATGACCTGAGCCAAAGTTGGACGTTCAATTGACTCAGCCACCCAGGTGAGAATTTCTTTCAAAATATACACACCTGGTCCCCTACCATCTCTACCCCCTTTTCAATGGGAGAGGGACAGGGCTAGGGATCCGTCTGTATTAACAACAATAAAATAATCTTTGGGGGTTTTCAAGGCATGAGTGGCTGGAAAATGGGAGTTTCGCCTGTTCTGCCATCTCCCTACCATATTTGGGAGTGGCCTACTGTGGACTGTTACAGGGGACCGGGAGCAGGTGGGAAAAGACCCCTGGAGGAACCCCACCGGCCCCAGCAATGAGACCTCAGCCCAGCGAGAAGACAGCAGACTGAGGACAGAAAACACCCTCCAGCTTTGGCGCAGGCGGTGACCCTGCTGATGAAGACCCTTATCTGCTTATGAGCGGACACAATATTCACCATATCATCGAAAATTAGCACGGGGGTCTTTCTTTACCGGCATGGAAAGAGAGGCCTGATACCCTGAAGGAAAACAAACAAACAAACAAACAAACTCACACATTTCTGGAAAGTTCGTATGGCCTGATCAGATTTTGGTTAAGGAACAGATATCCTATGCGTCTCAGTCTAACCATGCACCTGCCAAATAGTCCAGAAGGATTAATACCAAAGTGTTCAGAGTTGTCTCAGGGGTGGTGAGAGGTCAGTGCCAATAGGTGATTTTTTTCTAACTCACAGTGGATTGATATTGACTCTGTTTTCCAATTAATAAGCATGTTACTTTCATTTTTAATGACTTTTAAAAAGCTTATTTACTTATCTTGAGAGAGTGAGAGAGTACCTGCGGGTGGTAGAGGGGTAGAGAGAGAGAGAGGGAAGGAGAGCATTGAGCTTGATCCCATGAACCATGAGATCATGACTTGAGCCAAAATCAAGTCAGATGCTCACCTGACTAGCCAGTTAGGTACCCCATTCTTTTTAATGACTTTTTAAAAATGTTTATTTTATTTTTGAGAGAGAAAGAGACACAGACAGAGCAGGGGAGGGGCAGAGAGAGAGGGCAACACAGGATCCAAAGCAGGCTCCAGGCTCTGAGCTGTCAGCATAGAGCCCGACGCGGGGTTCAAACTCACCAACCGCGAGATCAGGACCTGAGGTGAAGTCAGCTCTTAACCCACTGAGCTCCCCAGGTGCTCCTGGTGATTTCAATTATACAAAACACGGCCACCTTCTCCTTGTCAAACTGTCTTACAGAAGGAAGGCTCCCTTTGTCCACGCAGACCCCAGAGGTAAGTAACCATTGCTGGAAGTCTATCCCCCATCTTTCCTCTCTGCACTTACACAACTGCTGATACCTCATCCGGGTCGTTCCTCAGATACATACTGTTTGTACCTTTTGTTTTTTCACCCAACAACCGGCCTTGACCGTCAGCCCACCACAGCCCACGTACATGTAATGCATCATTTTAGCCTCTTGAATTAAAAAAAAAATAAATACGTGAAGCTAATTTTATGGCTCACGTGTCTGGGCCCCTCAGGGATAGCCGGGCATAATGACCCAGCTGCGTGTCCCCCATCTGTTCAGGGTACAGGTGCTCCTCCTTCCCCTGGTTCCTTCTCGCTGCACTTACCCAGAAAGCTCGTGTCCTGCAGCTGGAGCCTGGCCACGTCCCAGGCCCGCTTGATGCCAATGTTTGGTAAGTTGAGACACACTTGTCCATTGCTGTGGGGCTGAAGCCGGAGGAAGGTTCTCAAGTTCAAGGCCACAGCCAGTGCCACCTGTAGGTTAAAGGGCAAAAGCAATGAGCCTGAGCATGAGTGGCAGAGTGTGTCTCCTATTAAAAATAGGCGTCAGGGGCGCCTGGAAGGCTCAGTCGGTTAAGCGTCCAACTTCAGCTCAGGTCACTATCTCATGGTTCGTGGGTTTGAGCCCCGCTTCGGGCTCTGTGCTGACAGCTAGCTCAGAGCCTGGAGCCTGTTTCGGATTCTGTGTCTCCCTCTCTCTGACCCTCCCCTGCTCACGCTCTCTCTCTCTCTCAGAAATTAAAAAAAAAAAAAAAACACATTAAAATAAAAACAGGTGTCAGAGTCAATGCGCTGAGGAGAGAGGGCAAGTACGGGCACACAAGGCATGCCCACCCATGCCCTTGGGAGACACGGCCCAGTAACCTCGGCCTCCCACTATGTGGCACAGCCACTACCAAGCACTTAGGAGTTGGCATCGACTTATGTTTGCCCTCCCCATGCACCACTTCAGAGGTCCTCAGCACCAAGGAATGGCTTCCCCATCTTCACCATGTTATCAAAGACAAATGTAGGTTAGGAAGATGAAGAAAGACGGAGCAGAGGAGCGGAGGAAGCATGAGCCATGGGTTCAGACAGACTGAGGTTCGTTCCCAGTTCTACCGAGGTGTATGGGACCTTGGCCAAGTTACCAATCCTCTCTCCTAAGCCTCAGCTTCCACATCTGCAAAACAGGATGGTAAAAGTTTCACCTCGGAGGGCAGTCCTACGACTTAAATGAGATGATGCATGTTTCAGACTTGTCTGCTGGATCCTACTCATCTTCTCCATTTCTGAATGTTGGGGTGCCCCAGGGCTCAGTGCTCCCACCTCTTTTCTTCTCCGCTGAAGCCCGCTTTCTCAGGTTGCCTCATTCCACCTGCACAGCTGGGCCTTTCCACTTTGTGCTGAGTGAGGCCAGAGGAGCGCTTTGGGGGATATAAGCCCTGTCTTTTCCCTGCCTCGCTGGGGAGGGACTGACCTCCTCTCTTATATGCTCCCAGGCTATGCCTCAAGGCTTTCTTTCAGCTTAAGATTAGGGTCAGGGAGAAGAGGGGCCCAATTCTCAAGGTCTCTGGGCGCCTTTACCTTGCCGTGGACCACGGCATGCTCTCCATGAAGGATGACTTTCCCTGGGGCAGACACCAGCAGGGCTTCTGACAACATGGCTCCTGAGAGAAAAAGCCAGAGAGAGAATGAGACGTCCCCAGATCCCAGAGATACTAGAGAGTACCCAGTTCAAACTCACCATTCTAACAAAAAAGACATCTACCATTCAACCACTTCCTACGGGCCCCGAAGACTGCGCAGTCCACTAGACACATCAGAAAGACCTGGGTTCAAATCCCAGCTCTTCCGCTCTCTGGTGAGGTCACCGTCTCTCATTCACTTAAATGGCAAGAACTTTGGTTCCCTCATATGTTATACAGGGACAAGAACTCTACTTACCTCAGTGGGATTTGTAACGTTTAAGTTAAATAATGCAAGAGGACCCCTTGGCAGAGTCCGGCACATCATGATCATTCAGTTACTGGTAGCTACTTAACTACTGGCGCTGTTTTCCGTTCCAGCTTTTATTATTACTACTACTATTGACGGTAAGAATTTAAATGAAATCATGGAGCAGCAGGAAAGCTTTCCTGGACTTTTAGGCTGTTTCCAATGTGTCACGATGATAAAGTACAGGCTGCAGAAAACAGATGCCAAGCCCCTTCCTGCACACTTAACCGAGGATCTCTACAACACAGAGTCCTAGAAAGTGACTTGCTGGGTCTACAGGTGTGTGCATTATATATGCAAAATTACCCTCCATTTAAGGCCTCATGTGCATTGCCTCCGTATGGTAAGACCTGAGCCGCATTATGAGCTAAGTGCTATCGTGATCCCCGTTTCTTAGCGGGGGAAAGGGACGCACGGAACCGGGAGACTGACTGCTTGTCCAAAGCCCCAAATCCCTTCAGATTCGAGCTTACCGACCGCTCGAGACGGATCCTCAGAGTCGGGGAGACCAAGCCAGAGAAGCCGGGAGCCCAGCCCAAGGTCTCAGCTTCAAACCTGGCGCCTCCCGGCCGCGGGAGCCCAAACTGCCTCACCTGTCTCCGCCAGCCGGATGAGCGAAAGCGAGGTCTGCTCGGCGACCAAGTCCTCCCGGGCGCCACGCCTACAAGCGTGCTTCCACTCAGCCAATCAGAACACGGGAACCGGGCGTTCCCTTGCCAATTGGCTTGAACATTGGCCAATAGGTGTTGCAACCAAACTGTTCCGGCACCCCCCTCGCCCCTCCGTGAACCAATGGGAAGCAAGTCCCTGGGAGTGTCCCGCCCTGGATCGAGAGCCAAGGACCAATGGAAAACGGTGGCTGAACGGTGGTGCGGCCGGAGGTAGGTGGAGTCGCCCTGCGACCTGGACGGGAGCCTGGCGGGGTCAGCCGCGGACGAGTTGCCAGGCGTATGGCTGTGTGGGGACTGGGAGGCCGCCTTGGCCTGCGCGGGGGCCTCAGCGCCAGCAGGCTGCTGTGTTCCCGTTTCCAGAGCCGCGGCCCCCAGGGCGTGGAAGACGGGGACGGGTGAGTGCCTGGCTTGGGAGGGTAACTCGGACACCTGCGGTGAAGTGTGGTGTCGTCGCCATGGTGACGTCACTCCGCAGTGAGGTCACCGCAGCAACCGCCAGGTGACACGCCTTCTCTTACTCCTGACATCATCGTGGCCACGTGGGCACCGTGGCAGCCAGAGACCCAAGTCTTTGCACAAGTCAGAACGAAGCCCAGCTGTCGTGCGTTAGGGCAGAGCACGTCCCTTGGAGGCCCCGAGGGCCATCTTGCCCCGCCTCACCGTCAGGTGGAGCCACAATTCAGATTCTGACCTATTTCCAAAGACGCAGATACAGCAACTCGATCGAAGGCGGCTGTCCTCACCGACCTTGAAACTTGCACCCCATTCCCGGAACCTGCCATGAATTTGTAATGGATCAAGTAATTGAACGTTTGAATAATCTCGTGGTGCCATATGTTAGTGTCAAAGCCTACGTTAAAGGTGTTATGGTGCCACTTGAAAATGCCAGAAGTAGAACTCCGTGTTGGCAGTTCTTCATTCCTGAGTCTACTTGACCCAGATTACTTTCTCTCCAAGAAGGGAAGGGAAGGGAAATGGCCCAGATTACTTTCTCTCCAAGAAGCCCTGACCTGGTGGAATGGACGTTAAGAGTCTGGGTGGGTCGAAGTAATGGTGTCTGTAGGGCAGAGGTACCTGGGGTCTGGAGTAAGGTAGTCTTGGGCATGAATCCCAGCCCTTGTCTTCCTTCCTCGGTGACCTGGAGTCTCATCCTGTGAGCTCCAATTTCTTCAACAGTAAAAGGAAGGTCACAGGTAGTGCCTATGGAATAATTCCAGGAGGTACTGCCAGGAATCCACTTAGCGCAGTAAAGAGACTATGGAAAGTGATCGATAAACCCAGTGAATATTTACTGAGCGTGCGCATTGAGCAGTGCGCTACATGAGCTGCTCTGCAGATACAGATGTGGGCAGGACGCACAGCTTGCCCACAAAGGACTGAACTGGGAAGAAAGGAAAATGATGTCAACATGAGATTCAAACAGAGGAGGGTAGAGGACTGCCTCTGAGGTTATTGAGCAAGATGTGACTCGGTGAAGGAGGGGTCACACCCACTCACAATTTCTTGATGTCTGTCTTCTCATTAGGCAACAGCCTTCCTTGAAGACACCCAAGATCCCCAAGATATACACCAAAACAGGAGACAAAGGTAGGGGCAGAGGAAACATGCAAAAGACTCCTTTTGAAAGTTCTTCCAAATGGTTTGCGTACATTAAAAATTATGTAACGGGCGCCTGGGTGGCTCAGTTGGTTAAGCATCCAACTTTGGCTCGGGTCGTGATCCTACAATTCATGAGTTTAAACCCCGTGTCAGGCTCTGTGCTGACAGCTCAGAGCCTGGAGCTGTCGGAGGCCGAGCCGGCTCCGACAGGTCCAGGGGTCCCTAAAGGATGGACGGTGTCGGCGAAAGAGAATGAGAGAGCCCCGAGATTCTTTCTGATCACCAGGCAGGCATCTCTGTCCTGTTGGTTTTGGTGTCTTTATTTAAAAGTTCAGCAACAACATGCGGTCAGAGAAAAGAATTTCTTACAACGGGAGGCCTTTCATGATGTCAATTGCAGAATTATTTCGACCAAGGAAATAACAGAATGTTCTTAGTGAAAAACAGCATAACATACAAGTTAAATTGTATGTAGATAAGCTAGGAGTTATTCTGTCTGGCTCTCAAGAAGATAAATGTTGCTGAATTGGTTTATTTGTGGAAACTAACATGGGGGCCCTAAATGTGTCAGTCTCTGCACCTGGGTTTATGTTTTAGCTATTTTATCTATCCTCATCCCAGCTGCCAGTGTAAGGGAGGGGGTTTGTGGAATGCAGGCCTTGAGGAAGGGACTGCCATGCTTCACCAATTAGCAAAGATATATGTAGTAGCTGTGTTCTGCTCTTAACCCCAAAATAGGCTCTTTGTCTCCGGGCCAGGTTCAGTTGTAACTCTTGTGTTCTTAACCCCCTTTATTATCTAAGCCTTGGGTCTGCAAGGCCCATAGGAAGAGCCTTTTGACAATTGCCCATAGAGCTTTCATCCAAAGTCTCTTTTGTAAAGGCAGGAATATGCTTTTCCTTATGAGGTATCTGTATTCAGAATATGGGCCTGATATGGAATATTGGGAGGCCTGGTCAATACCAGCAGGCTTATACCCAACATGAGCCAATGGTAGCAGAAGGAGATCACAGTTTTCATTTCTCATGGCAGGAGCTGCAAACATTGCCACTTCCTTGCCGTGATTGCCATCCAGAGAGGCCGGTTCGGCTCCCGGCATGGAGCCTGCTTCGGATTCTGTGTCTCCCTCTCTTTCTGCCCCCCACCCCCACCTTTCTCGCTCTTTCTCTCAAAAATAAGCAAACGTTAAAAAAAAACTGCAGGTTGGGGTGCCTGGGTGGCTCAGCTGGTTAAGTGTCCCACTTTTGGTTTCGGCTCAGGTCATGATCTTGCGGCTTTGTGGGATTGAGCCCTGCATTGGGCTCCACGCTGGCAGTACAGAGCCTGCTTGGGATTCTCTCTCTCCCTCTCTTTCTACCCCCCCCCTTTTCTGTTTCTCTCCAGGTAAATAAATAAAGAAACTGTGCAGGTCACTAGTATACGTATATTTTGAGGGTAATGTGCTTACGCGGTAAAAGTATAAAGGATATGCATGCTATATACTTAATGCCATTGAACTGTACTCTTAGAAAGGGTTAGAATGCTAAGTTTTGTGTTATGCGTATGTTACCACAATAAATAAAAAACGGAAGGAGAGCATGCATAGGGATGACCCACAGAGGGTAGCGTTGATGCCCTCCAGCTGAGATGCCCAGGGACAGTCTGATCAAGTGGGGTCACTTGGGTCATTACATGGCACACCATGGGCTCTGTGAGAAGACGCTGGAAAGGACCCAGTACAGGACCGGGCTTCTGTTAGGTGTGCTGGGCCAGATTCCAGGAAGGGGGGTGTGTGGCTCTGGATTGGATGCTCAGGAAGTGGGGCTAATTAATTCTCTAGGTGGGTATGGTAATCGTTCTTTATCCAGAAGGTGGGTGTGACAAAGAGAGGCCGATGCTGTCATGGATAAAGAAGCAACAGGCCCTCACATCAGCCAGAAAATTGGGACATTTGGTCATTTTTACAGTTTGGACGGCATTCTGGGCTCAGACATGATTACAGAGGGTCTTGTGTGGGGCTTGCTGTGTCATGGTCAGAGTGGGCCCCCAGATGGTGTTCTGCAGAATTGTTCGAGTCCCAACGGAACACCACAGCCAGCCTGTGAGCGCCGGGCCAGCTCCTGGCCGCCAGGAGCAGGTTCGCTCTTCTCCGTGGTTAAGGGAGCATGGTGGGAAATTGTGACCCAGGCAGAGATCCATGGATGACTTTGATTTTATGTGAAATATAATTGTAATATATACATAATATGTATCTATAAGTTTTATTTCTTTTTTTAAACAATGTTTATTGGGAGACAGCGAGAGAGTGCCGTCCCATGCCAGTTGGGTAGGGGCAGAGAGAGAGAGGGAGACAAAGAACCCCAAGGAGGCAGCATGCTGTCAGCACAGAGCCTGATGTGGGGCTCAATCTCATGAACCATGAGATCAGGACCTGAGCTGAGATCAAGAGTCAGATGCTTAACTGACGGAGCCCCCCAGGTGCCCCTTTATATGTCTTATGTGATAATTAGTAGAATGATTAGTACGTGATTTTTAGGATTAAAGTAAAAGCACATCAGGAAAGAAGTGATGATAGTGGTTACCCTTAGGGATGCCTGGGGGCTTCGGGGGTGCTGATCACAGAGGTATTTTCAGGCAGTAGCAATGGATCGACTTGTATACGTAGGATTTGAGCGCTTTTCTGTGTATATGTTATCCTTCCGGTGGAAAGTTTAAAAAAAAAAGAGCATGTCAGGAAAAATAAATCTTAATGTGGGTGGCTCAACATCTTTTCACAGGGTTTTCTAGCACCTTTACTGGAGAAAGGAGACCTAAAGATGACCAAGTGTTTGAAGCCTTGGTAACAACAGATGAATTGAGCTCAGCCATTGGGTAAGGCAGACGGGGTTGGCCTTGAGGCCGAGTTTGAATCGGCATCAGTAACGTAACTAACAACTAACAGGAAGCTCTCGAGAGCGCTGGCTGGTCCTGGAGAGGCAGACACAAGATGGAATGGGCAGAGGGGAAGGAAGGTGACTGCTAGCATCAGCTGCTTAGGACCAGCAAATCCGCAAGCCATCGCCCCTACACCACCCCTCCTTCCAGACAGGAGACTGGGGGCACCTCCACTGCGAAGAGTGAGCGAGCGCCTCCAAGAGTCAGGCAGAGAGCGTCTGCCCCATGTGCCTCGGAGCCCATGGTGTTGGCGGCGCTGGGGGAGCAGACAGCATACGGGCACCTGCGGGTGGCTGGAGCCTTGAAGGAGCGCACACCCAGGAGGGTCTCCAACCAGCCTGCATGGAGGGTGTGTCTTCACTGAGGATATTGCTGAGCATGTGTTTGGTGCCAGGCCAGAGAGTGTCACTCTGCAGAGGGCAGACTGTGTCCTTCCCATAGAGCTGTCCCTTGCAGTCCAAAGTGGGAGACCTGCACTAGATGACAAATTAACACGTTTGTCCGTTTAGTTCTGACTGTAAAGCGGACTAAGAAGGCGCATTGGTTGTGCCCAGAAGGCGACCTATATGGCGCGGTGACACATTCACCCCATCCCCTCCTCAAGCCCAGCCAGCTGCCTGGCTGCTGGAGGCGGCCCCACCGAGAATCCAGCTCTCCCGGGTCTGGAATGCCTTTGACCCTCCCTTGCCCCTTCAGGCCCCTGCTTTTGCTAATCTTTGCCATCCGCTGCCAGTCCCCTAACTCCTTCCACACTCTGTTAATAGTCCCCTTGCCAGCCTTCCCCCCGGGAACCCTGCGAATGCACTGCCGACTCTTCTCTGCCAGGCCCCGACTGGTTCAGAGAGAGGGGGCGGAGGCTGGAGGGAGGCCAGAGCCGGGGCCCTGACCTGAATCTGGGGCGCCTGGCTTTCCCCGTCCCTCCTGCCTTACCAAAAACTCCTATTCAGCCTTCAAAGTCCCACTTCGAGCACTGCTTCCTCCAGGAAGCCCTCTCTGAACTCCAGCCAAGGCCAAGGTCCCCAGGACTCTGGCCTTTTCCTCCAGAGCGCTGATTTCAGTCGTATGATGCCCAATTCACACCTCCTCCCCCTTCCAAACAGAGCCTGTGTCCCTTGTGCTCACGCTGAATTGCTTGGACCTGGCCAGAGTAGGCAGTGAGAAAGGAAGTGTTGACTGGGTGAGTAGTGAGTGTAAGAAAAGGCATTTTGAGCAGCAAACACGCCTAACCGAATGAAGGGTTATGATGTTCTCACTGTCAGCAAGAAAAAGAACACTGTGGTGTTCGAGCTGAATTAGCTAAATGGGAACTTGGTGCCTTATGTACAGCAGGGCCCACGGACTGGTGTTAGAGGCAGATTCTTTTCTTTTTCCTCGTAGGTTTGCTTTAGAATTAGTCGCAGAAAAAGGCCACCCATTTGCTGAAGAGCTTCAGAAAGTGAGTAACAGTGTCTCATCCCGAGTTGGGATTCTTTATCCCTGTGGCCTGATGGCCATCACTGCATTAGCCATCTGACTGTCACTTCCTCTCCGGATCACCTGGGGCAACTCACTCTTTGTCTGGGAGCCTCTGTTTCTTTGTCTGCAAAATGGGGACACGGGGATCATCTCCCTCCCAGGCAAGTGGTGAAGACAGCACCAAAGGGGGAAACATAAAGTGCCGTGGACTTGACCCAGGCGGCTTCTGCCCCCTGGGGACGCTTGGCAATGTCTGGTGTCACTCTTGGGGGTTACAGGTGGAGGGGGAGCTACTGGCATCTAGCTGGTGGTAGAGGCCAGGGATGCAGCTAAATGTCTGACAGTGCCCAGTGCCGCCCCTGCCACAGAGAATGCCCCAGGCCTGAGTGTCAGTAGCCCCGAGGCGGAGAAGCTCTGGAAGGCCAGTGTCAGCAAGCCCTGGGCCAGGGGGCCTTATGGTCTTTAGTATTAGTGTTCTGCTCCTCAGGAGGCATGGAGACTGAGCCACAGACAGGACTTCAACAGTGGAGACCGGGCCGTCCCCCAGGACCACAGGACGTGTCTGAGGTTGCAGTCTACATGTCGACCTTTGGCTGTAGAAGCTGCTTGCTGGACGGCAGCCCTTGGCCCGCTTCAGTCCTGTGGGCCAGGCTGGGGCCTGCTTAGGCTCCTGGGAGCAGGCGGGGGGCAGTGAGGGGGCCACAGAAGGATGGGAGGCCTCCAGTGCCAGAACGATCTGTGAACGAGGCACCTGCTGTGCGCCGGGGGTGGTTTTCAGCTTCACCATGGAGCGTTCATGTCCGCGGTGGTCATTTCCGCACGGTGTGCTCCTCTCTGCGCGGGGTTTGCAGAGGGTAAGGGGGGGCAGTGACGTGATGAGTCCAGCTGTGCTCTAGGCCCCTGTCCTTTGTCCCAGCGCCACCTCCTCCAGGGCCTTGTGCAGCCTCTGGCCAGGTTAGGCACCTGTGCCAGCTTCCCACAGCTCCTGTGCTCCCACCTCTAACAGCAGGCGCCACAAAGAGTGTCACGAGGTCTGATCTGTCTCTGTCCCCCCTGGCCTGGATGCCCAAGGGTGCCGACTGTGAGCCCCTTGCCCGGAAGCCCAGCCAGGCCCCTGCTCTCTGGGCCCATGGAGAGCACTGGACAGCCGGTGTGTCGCTCTCCTCCCAGAAGCCTGTGAGCTACAGGTTAACGTCCACGTTCTGGGGCAAAATGCACTCCTGAAGGAGAGGGCTGCCTGCCCCAGACTCCCGGGCTGGGACCAGGGGAGCTGGGATCCATTCCCGAACTGTCTCCGGCTTCCTCCCGTGCTGGGGTAAGCGCCGCAGTGGCCGTCTGCCTGAAGCTCAGGAGACGCCAGGGTCCTCGCCCAGGTTCTGCCGGTCGGCGGCCCAAGGGGGTGCCTGGCTCCAGCCTCTGCCCTCATCCACCGGGCCCTGCTCCTGGCACGCCGTCCCACTGGTCGTCTTGGCAGAGGTCAGACTCCCCCTCATGGCGCCCCATCCCGCTCAAGCGGCCCCTGGCTGGGCACAAAGGCGGAGGCTGCATTCACGGGGCTCACTGGCCCGGGCGCCTGTGGGTGGTTTGTCGTGCAGGGGTCGACCACGTTCTCACAGATACTTGTCCTTTATGGCTTAGAAGGCACTGTCACGCTTGGTGTCTTGGCCCAGCTGTCACAGGTCAGAAAACCAGAGCCTTCAGTTTAGAGAAAAGGAGAAAGGCCTCCCAGGGCCCAGGCTGAGGGAGGCAGAGTGGGGAGAGAAGATCCCTCTTGACCGTCACTGGACCCCTGACGCTCGTTGTCTGTGTGACTCGGGCACCACCGAGGGACCCAGGGCCCCGCTCAGCAGAGTTGGTGTCCAGGGTTTGGCAGACTTTGCTAAGTGGCCGGCAGGCGCCAGCTGATGAAAGGTCCGCTCGGCCCCAGCAGGGCAGCCCCTGCACACGCGCCTCTGCACGCAGGAGCACGTGGTCCCCGCCTGGCCTGCCAGGAATGGCTCCTCACTCTCGCCTTCTGTTGCTTCCCCAGATCCAGTGCTCACTGCAGGACGTCGGCTCTGCCCTGGCGACCCCGCGCTCCTCGGCCAGGGAGGCTCACCGAAGTAATTTTCTCTCTGAACCCGCTCTGCGCGCACGCGGAAGGGCCCTGTGGGGCCCGGGTCTGGCCGGGTGGGGCTCTGTCCAGGGTCCTCTGGGACCCCCGTCAGCCTAGCCCACGGACCCCGAGAAGAAAGGCCCTCCCAAGCCGGTGGAAGTGGTTTGCAGGGCCCTCGGGGCAGAAGGGACGCGGGCGGTTTCCTTGGTCTGGGGGGGCGGGGGCCTCATGGCCGTGTCCTGCCTCTCGGCTCCTCAGGATGTGCTGCGTTCGAGGCGGGGCCCATCGTGCAGCTGGAGCAGTGGATCGACAGATACTCCAGCCAGCTTCCCCCCGTCACGGCATTTATCCTGCCGGTAGGTCCCAGGCGGTCTCAACCTGGGGGTGGCCGCACGCGTGCGTTCTTGGAAACGCACTGGTGCAGAGTAAGTGCCCTCTTTAATTTTTGCCTGTGACAGACGCTGGCCCCCAACCTCCCCAGTCCCCTCCGGGGCCCCTGCCCAGCCCTGCCCGCTTTGGACGGGGCTGCTCAGGGGGTGCGCCCCGCTGCAGGGCCCCCTGGAAGCAGAACACCGCCAGCTGGTTGGGGGGGGGCAGGGTCCTGTGTCTGTCGGTCCATCTGTCCAGGGGGCTCCCTGTCTGCCCTGGGCGCCCCGCCGCCCCCACCCCCCGCTCCAGCCAACACGCTCTGTTCTGCTCTGTCCTTTCAGTCTGGGGGCAAGAGCAGCTCCGCGCTCCACTTCTGTCGGGCCGTGTGCCGCCGAGCAGAGAGACGGTAAGGGGACCAAGGGGGCCGGCGGGGACTGGGTCGGAGCGGCAGGCAGGCCCGGGACAAGGGGTGGCAGCCCTTCACCCCCCCGCTTCGCCATTCCAGGTAGATGCTGGCCAGCCTGGGTCTCTGTCCTCAGAGCCCTGCATGGTGGAGGGGAAACAGTGGAAACAGTGGCCCGCGAGCAGACAGAGGACAGATGATGTAACCACATCAAGAGCGGAGCTTACGGAGAAACAGGCGGGTTGTAGGTGAACAGGGTGGGGGAGGCCCCGGTGGGTTTAGCTGGTTATGTACGATTCTGGCGCTCGTGTGCTAGGGAGGTCAAAAGGATTTTGGGGGAAGAGTCCTCCCTGCCCTGCACCCCGCCTCCTCATCCCCGGGGGTTAACGTAAGTGGGGCAGTCGGAGCTGGGCAGGGATGAGTGGAGAGCCCCATGCTGTGGTCAGGCCGGTGAGGGACATGGAGGGGACACAGCTCCCCTCCCGGGGACACAGCGTCTCTCCAGGTCATGCTGCATGACGGTGACATGAAGGGACTCTACTGCTGATGGGTAAAGAAGGGCCCAGAGGGACCCACAAGGCTGTGGGGGCCCCAGGGAGGAGCTCTCAAGAGACCCGCTATCCGCTGCCCCAACACCTCCACGTCAGGAAGAGGAAGGACCCCGGAAGCTACTGACAGCCTTTTCAAAGACACTTGGGAAGGGTTTCCCTGCAGAGCCTCCACTCACACCACTCGTAACACCAGCTGCCACCCGGCTTTCCGGGAAACGGAAGTAAAGCCCTACCTCGGTACAATGGGCAGGGCTGTGCTGGGCATTTGCCCATCATCACTTCGCTGATGCCTCAGGATGACGTTGGCAGAGAGGGGGTGGCAGGCCCCCGCATACAGGAATCAGGGAACAGGGGCTCGGAGAGGTGACCTCATGGCCAGGGCGGTCACCTGAGTGGTCCATGGCAGAGTCCAGGTTTGAGCTCAGGTCGGTCTGGTTCCAGACCTGAGCTCTGTCCACAGCCCCACATCAAACAGGTTCCATCCCTCATGAAAGGCTCGTGGACCCAAGTGGTTCCCAAAGGGATCCTGGGTCACAGCGCTTCTGCTTCAAAAGAAAAATGTCAGTCCCTTGTAGAAAACTGTCCATATCAGCAACGCTCACAATAGCAAAAAAATTGGAGAAGTGCGAAGGCCCAGCAATGGGGCCTAGTCGAGCAGAGGAGAGGTCTTTGGGACACCAGGCAGGGAGGCGGAGATGTTCCCGTGGGAGGATAAAGCCCCCTGGAGACAAACCCAGAGCCTCGGTGTTGGGGGGAGCACCTCCCAGCAAGGGTTATGCGGGGGAGGTGACCTATGTGACCCGCCAGGCAAGGGCCTGCCACGTCGCCAGCTCGGCAGACAGCAGGTCTGTCCAGGCCAGAGGGATGCCTGTGGCCAGGCTGCCAAGGACACCGGGTCGAGCTGCTGCAGGCTGCGAGGTGCCGGTGTGGATAGAGCCCTGGGTCCCCGGAGTGCCGGTCCCACAGCGTATGTGATGTGATGTTTCTTCCTTTTCCAGGGTGGTGCCTCTCGTCCAGATGGGTGAGACGGACGCTAATGTGGCCAAGTTTCTAAACAGGTACCCGAAGGAATTTGGAGAGTCCCACTGCTCAGAGAAGCTAGGCACGTTGTGGGGAGTAACGATGAGAGAAGGGGCCCCACACGTTCGTACCCACCGAGGGCCTGCATTGTGCCAGGTGCGGTGTCGGGTGCAGGGATGCAGCTGAGAGCGAGGCAGGTCCCGTCCCTGTCCCTGCTGGGGTGAAGGTGTCGTTGGGAGAGGCCGTTGGGAAACCAGCAGCTTGCAGCCTAAGAACAAAGGGACAGTGCAGTAGCGGGGGGCCCACTTGTAGGTCGAGTGGCCAGGGAGCCCAGGCAGGGGTGAGACGCTCTCTCAGCCCCTCCCCACAAGGCTCCAGGGCTGTGTGAGCCGAGAGGCGGCTGAGCAGAGCCAGCTCAGGGCTGTCTGGGCCCAGGACCCAGTGAGCTGGGCTGGCCCCGGGAGGGCTCCTCTGCATTCCATTCCAGCCTCACCTCATGCCGTCCAGTGTGAGCAAGGCCAGGGCCCAGGGGCAGGCTGAGAACCAGGGGGGCTCTGGGAGCCGTCCTGGGTGTCCAGAAAGTGACCTCATAGCCAGGGTCTGGCCCTTGACTGTGGTCACTCCGCCCACTGGGACGTGACCTGATCAGCCCCTTTCTTCCTGGGGGGTGGGTGGGCTGAAGGGAGAAAGGAAGGTTCCATTCATCATCACACCAGTGACCTTTGGAGAGCCTTATAGTCCCGTAGTGTTGTGTGGGCCGAGCCCGTTCATTCCCTTAGCAAGGAGATTAGAAACAAGCATGTCCCCACCTTCCAGGAATGGGAGACACCCAGAGCAGAATCTCTTCCACTGCCCCTGAACCCTGTCCCCAGAGAGACAGCTGGGCATTAGGAGGAGAGGGGGCTCGATCCCCATGGAGGCGTGGTCAGGGAAGGTTCCAGCAGGACGTGGCATGGAACGGGGGCCGGGAGAGGTGGAGGAGGGCGGTGGGCAGTGCTCGGTGTGAAAACGAAAAGCAGGGGACGGTTGAAAGGCAGGCGGCTTCATGAACTCCCTGTAGGCTTCTGAAGGGCAGGCTGGGTGTCTCGGTCCTGGTCAGTGGCGGGTACACAAGCCAGACTAGGAGTGGCCCAAAGCCATCAGCCCTGTGGGGTCCGGTGGGGGTGGCGGCCTCTTTGGGCAGAAGCTGCTGCGGCCCCGGCGCCAGAGTCACAGAAGCCGGCCCAGAGCGCCATCCGTCAAGCCCGAGTTGGCTGCACACCTGCTGTCAGGCCCAGTGCTCCCGGGCCGTGTGATTTATGTTTCCTCCTCGAAGGCTAATATGGGAAGGACCCAGTTAGCATTGATCTCTCATTTCACATCATTCCATTTGCTTCTCTCTGTCCCTCCAGACTCAGTGACTATCTCTTCACGTTAGCCCGATACGCAGCCATGAAAGAGGGGAAGCAGGAAAAAATCTACAAGAAAAATGACCCGTCGGACCGAGCCTGAGGCTCCTGGAAATAACACAGAGGGGGAGATCTGTGGACCCCTCCGAGGTGGAGAGTTTGTCCTTCCTGTCCTGATTCCTGAAGAGCTCGCCCAGGGGAGCTGGTGGAGACCCCTGCCCGCCCTGCTAGCCTCTCCTGGGTCTTGGAAGAGGTGGTAATGAATGAATTCAGTATCGGGGAAAACAAGGCAAAGTGATCTTGGCAACGAAGAGCTACACAGAAAAAAATTAAAAGCGGGAAAAGCTTGAGCCGTGTGTGTGCGCGTGCGTGTGGTAGCCGGCTCAGGTGGCATAAGGATTTGGAAGGACACAGAGGCCCTTGGAAACGTAACTGGGGTTTAGCTGGGCCCGAGGGTCTGTAAATGTCACGTTTGTACAGGGGAAGGCAGATGGGGTTTGGAAGTTCGGTCACCTCTGAGCCACCACCCCTGCCTGCGTGTGGGGGCAGGGCAGCCGCACGCTGACAGGCGAGGCCTCGAGACTCGGTGGAGACTCGGGTGCACGACAGGAGTGCTCCCCCCAGAGGGGAGCCTTCCTCCCTCCAGGGACGAGGGGCGGCCGGCCTGGAGCAGGACATCTTTCTCTATTGGCTTGGGCCTCTGAGATCCCTGCCATGGCTGTATTTTCTCTCTCTTGTCGCCGCCGCCCCCTCCCACTGCGAGATGACACTGCCAGTGCCAGCTGTGTCCTTGGGAAGGGGATATTTACGCCGGGCGAGGAGGCAGCCCGAGAACGTGAAGATCGCGCGCTGCTAATTGCTAATGACTCCGGAAGGGCAGGCTCTCGCTAACTGTCAGGGCCAGGATGCCTGGTGGACTGGGCTTGGCAGTCGTTCACTTATGGACCCCCTGCTTAGCATTGGGCGCCGGCTCGGCTCCGGAAGCCAGGTCACTCGGCTGTCCTCTTTGCCAGCAAGTCTGCGAACGTTAGCACGATCGGTCACATGTAGAGTTTTGCTCTCATTTCTTACCACTCCGCCCGCACGTTTCACTGAAGGAATAGGTATCTTTCATCCTGGGTCCCTGGTCTCCCGGCAGGCGATAGCCCTCATGAGCCTGGGCAGAGGTGCAGGTGATGTGGGCGAAGGTGAAATCCCTCCAGGAGGTGGCCGTGTCAGAGGCCTGCCCTGCCCTCCGCCCAGGCCTGGTCCCTGGCGGGTGCTCCACTTTGGGAACAGAGGTGGAAACCCTGAAGGCAGCAGCATTCAGGAGAGGCTGACGTGGCCAACTGCCCTGCACGTGCTCAGGCCGGGCCAGGGCGAGGTTTGCAGGGACCCCTCTGTCCCCCACTCCTGCCCCCTCCTCACAGTCTTCCTGGAAGGGGCAGGACACACATGCTGAAACGCTCCCAGCCGTGGCCAGACTCCCTAGAAACGGACAGGAGAAGCTCTTTGGGTAAATACAGCATGAAATAATGCTTTGAAACAAAGCAGCTCACCTCTCGCCAAATCCTGTCCCAGCAGCCCTTGCTGGGAGGGGTGCGGCAGGCTGGGGTTAACCCCGGCTTCCCAGGGGGTTCCCGTCCTGGGCTGGCACACTCCCTGAGAGACAGCCTGGGTGCAGGGCAGACCTGGCACCTCTGGGGGTGTCTCCCGTGTTGCCAGGCTGGGAAAGGCAGAGCAAGCCTGCTCCAAGGGCCCAGAGGATGGATGGGTTAGAGACGCGTGCCCTCCGGCGGTGCCACACGGGAGCCAGAAGCAGAAGAGAGGCACAGCGCCGCGCACCCGGCAGAACATCCTCCAGTGTCCCGAACCCAGTGGGGAAAGTTCATGGAAAGCTCCACCATGCAGACTCGTGACTGAAGAGAAAGCCCACATTGCCAGCTCTGTCTGCACGCCGCTCTCGCAAGCGGCCACCCCCCTGTGCAGTAGTGCGGGGGTCGGGAAAGGAACAGCAGGCTGTTTTTACTTAAAACTGTCATGTCTTGAGGCACCTGGCTGGCTCAGTTGGTGGCGCAGGCAACGCTTGATCTCTGGGCCATGAGTGCCAGCCCTGCCCTGGGCATACAGATTACTTAAAAATAAAAAATGGTGGGGCGCCTGGGTGGCTTAGTCGGTTGAGCGTCCGACTTTCGCTTAGGTCATGATCTCGCGGTTCGTGGGTTCGAGCCCCGCGTCGGGCTCTGTGCTGACTGCCAGCTCGGAGCCTGGAGCCTGTTTCAGTCTGTGACTCCCTCTCTCTCTGACCCTCCCCTGCTCACGCTGTCTCTCTATCTCTCTCTCCTAGAAATAAAAAATTTAAAAAATAGAAATAAAAAATAAAAAATGGTGATACCCTGATCATAGATCTGCATCTTTTTAATCTTTTAAACCATCCCATGGAACTTTCACTTCCCTTGATTCCTGGGGCTTGGGGCACTTCCATACATTGGCACCCACTAAAGTAGCTCACCTGCCTGCCCCTGGGCCAGACCTGGGTCTCAGGGACACCTTTCGTACCTCTGCCAGAGAGGAGCTGGGGGCCGGCTGTGTGCCTGGCTGGTCAGGGGCACCATGGACACCAGCTTGTTCAAACCTCACAGCAGCCCTGACACAGGCTTTGCAGGAGAAGAAACTGAGGCTCAGGGGACAGGTCTCGTTTCGGGGCCTGGTGTCTCCCCCTCCACTGCCACTTGACAGTCGTTTTAATCACGACCTGGGCCGTCGAGAACAATGTCAGACGCTAATAGATTCTGCCGTCTCATTTCTCAACCTAGTTTCCCTTAACTGATCTCTCCTGGCTATTGTTAATGTGCATTTTTTCACCGAGTAATTTTCTCTGCCCGAACTTGTAACATATCCCAATGACAAACGTCCCGGTTCTGAATCCCCCATCAGCTGCAATGTCACCCTCGCCTCCTCCCTGACACCTTCCCCCAACAGCCCATCCAGTTTTATGATCGCTCTGTCCCAGTTATCACTACTGAACCTTTAAGAATCCAGACGTACTTCAAGTTTAATTGAATAAAATTCCGTGTATAATAAATTCTGCGTGAATGCTACATAAATCAGTGCCTGGAAGGATTTGTGGCCCATCCCTCCCTCCCTTTGCCCAGGCGTCCCCCCAGGCCAATCCGGGACCCAGACTGGCCCAACCTTGCTTCTCAAGGACTCACCTTTGCAGCCCTGCTGGGGTGCAGTCTCCTCAGGGAGTCCCTCGTGGAAGACTGTGTGGAGCCGGAGCAGAGGCGGGGGTGGGGGGGTGGGCAGCCAGGCTGGGGACACCTGAGGCCTTGAGGATGTCCCTCACGTTCCTCTCCCCCACACCACAGAATCAGACACTTGTGATGGAGGCTCCGTACACCCTCTTCACACACACACACACACACGTGTTCACGGTGCACATACAACATGGAAGGCCTGCTCTAGAATAACCAGTGTAGCCCGCTTTTCCAGGAGCCAGCTGGACCCGCAGCCTGGCCTGGGGCCTGCAGAGCTCCAGCCTTGCAGTGTGAGAAGCAGCATTGCCTGGGGCCGGCTGTACAGCCTCCCATGCCTGAAACACCATGGAGGGCAGTGAGTGCAGCTGTGCACCGGCCCAGGTTCGAGACCAGCCCGGGAACTTCCTCATCTCTTGACTCCTGGAGGGCCACTCCATCCTTCTCAGCCTTGCTTCCTCATCTGCAAAATGGGAAGGACAATCATGTCGGTCTCATCGATGGAGGCCACTGGGAGAGCCTAATGAGGCGGTCTGTGAAAGGACTTGGCACTGCCCCCCAGCAAGCTAGCTGCTCCTGTGGTCTGCCGTTACGGTTATGACCCGGGACCCGCTGTGTGGCTTCCTAGGTGAGCCACCTCGAGTAAATTACTTAACACCGCTGAGCCTCAGACTTCACCTTTTTAAGGTTTATTTATTTATTTTGAGAGAGAGAGACAGAAATGGTGAAGCACAGAGACAGAGAATTCCTAGAGCTCCATGCTGTCAGCACAGAGCCTGACGCAGAGCTCGAACCCACAAACTGTGAGATCATGACCTGAGCCAGAATCAGGTGCTAGAGTCAGATGCTTAACCGACTGACTTCATCTTTTTTTTTTTTTTTCATGTTTATCTTCGAGAGAGAGAGAAGCACAAGCTGGGGAGGGGCAGAGAAAGAGGGGAACAGAGGACCTGAAATGGGCTTGACACTGGCAGCAGAAAGCCTGATGTGAGGTTCGAACTTGTGAACTGCAAGATCATGACCCGAGCGGAAGTCAGACACCTAACGGACTGAGCCACCCAGGCGGCTCCTCAGTCTTCGCCTTTTATGACTGGGGATGGTTCAATTTCCAAGGGTTCGGGGATATAAGTCCACAGGTTTACCACACAGCAGCAGTTAAAAAAAAAAAAAAGTAGCTATTGTTGAATCCTGTCTTCAAAGCACTTACAAGTAGCTCAAGCCTGGGTGAAGCACAGAAGACCAATAAGCAGCGTCTCCGTGTTGTTTGGACTTGCTGAGGCTGGAGGGACACAGGTGGGCTCCAGGAGGTGCTGGTCTCAGTCATGGGGTGGGAGGCACCACTCCAGGGACACTGTTCCCAACTGAAAGGGAGAGGTACTCAGTCACTGAGCAATGAGAGCCGAAAGGGATCATTGCTCCCATTTTACAGATGAGGAAACCGAGGTCAAGAGATAAATATTAGTGGGTCAATATTAATAATGACCACAAATTGAGTCCTAATTGTGTCCAGGCATCCTGCTAAGCACTTTACATGCAACAGTTCATTTAATTCTTTTAGCAGCCCATGAAGACGGTAGTTAACATGACCGTCATCTCCAACTTACAGGAGGAAAAACTGAGACCCCGAGTGGAGAAAGGGTGTTCTTAAGGTCAGATGGCTCTAGGAGGTGGAGCCAGGCTTTAAATCAGGGCTCTACACCTCTCAACACCATGATAACCATGTACTCAATGCTCAACTACATGCTCAGCTGTGCCATGAGGCCACCTTGAACGTGTCTCATTTCTCAGAACCCCCTGAGGTATGTACACACATCCTCCCCATTTCACAGGCTGAAGGAAATTGGGGCTCAGAGAGGCAAAGTCCCCTGCTCAGAGTCACACAGTACCTGCTGGGGCAATGATGCTGGTTACAGTGATGTAATAAACAGCTGACATTTACTGAGCTCTTTTTGAGCGAGAGGCAGGCTACTCTGTTGAGCAATACTAGGGCAGCTTCCGTGTGCCCTTGGCACATGCTGCCCACCACAGCCCCTGCCACCCTCCCAGGTTAGTATTGGTATCTTTGTTTCAGATGCAGACACAAAAACTCAGGCACAGGGAGACAGCACTTTGGC